ATGGCTCAGCTCGCAAACATTTTCTCAACAAATAATTCTCTATAACATGTAAACCTTACAACTTAGAACATGCAGTATTTATTTTTCATTCTACATATATGCTATTCATAAAGTAGTTTATTATCCATCAGTAAACCATATAAAAATCTCATAAATTACGCCAGTATCCATATTCATAAACCAGCTCGTCCATACTGACTATCCATGTCTCTCTCTATGGAAGTTTGCATACAGTCTTCTCCTGCTGTTTCCTTTTTTTTCTTATGTCATCTGCTTATCTTTTTTTTTTTTTTTGCTGTCCTACGTTTCTTTTGTCTGTCGTCTCTGCCATTTTCTTATATATATATATATATGGCTTATAAATTTTTCATTTCATTATATGGCGTCCTACAATCCAATCAATCACAATACTATTTAAATGTTAAATAGGCATTACTATATGTATTTATACCTGTACATATGATACAATTTTCTTTTGAATCATTACTATTTATATATTTTTTTTTTTCTATAAATTATACTGATACTGTGCTTGTGAATCACTGTTCATCCCAACGGATACCAACATCTCACTTTCAATCTAAGTTACATTTGCAGTGATTAACTTGTGTTCACAAGATATTGAGGATTTTTCCTATTCTTTTTTTTTTTATATATTCCTGTCATAGCTATACCGAAATCACCATGCACTGTCCTCTACAGTACAGTAGATTCACAGAAGATAATTGGAAGCTTGCCACAGTATAGAAGTGCTATCTTCATAAAACCGACTAACTTCAGTCTCATCCTCTTTGGTAACAAAGTTATATTAAATAAAACAAACCACATGCTTATAAAAGCATAGCATAAAACACCAACAATCAGGAATTCTCATAAATATATAACGGTTGTATAGAATGGGAACGAATTTCCATGCATGGACAATTATGCAGCCTATTAATAACCACATTACCAAGGTCATCAGCAAAGTTTTCTAGAATATCCATATCTCTTTACTTTCCTAACAATCTTGTCTGTCTGTGTCTCATAATTTTCCTCTATAATAATTTTAAAGCTTATGTACTTTGAATATCTTAACATTGCCTCCCACAGAGACTATTTAATAATAACTAATTAATATACAGAAACTTCATTAGTCAAATCATAAAATATTTTATAATCCTGTAGTCTACAAATACATAGAAGGTAAGTTACATAAACCATTTAAAAATAGTATCCAATTTTTCCTTTCTCCTCTATTTCACCATATCACAGTTTACATGTATTCACTTAATTCTCTCCCATCTGTCCATACCTATATACAACAAAAGAGTGCTATGCACTCATTTATTTCCATTTTCCTGCCATAATATCTGAATTATAAAGTTTATTATCCAAATTTCACAATTCTAGACCACACTGTTTGACACAATCCATGTGCTAACTTCAAGATGAGTTCATTATTAACTCATGAATGCTTTAAATCAGTTATTATCTTCTGATATACATTTATTTATATTAATATTCAATAATATATTCTACTTGTTTTTTTTTTATTATTTGTACTTCACAAATATATAATACAATTTGAATTTAAACAATGATTTCCTCCTTGGTTCACATTTCAATTCCAATACAGATTTAACAATGAATCTGTCCACTTTATAGTTTCTTAGTACTGTCATTCTACAAATGACACTAAATAATAAAACTCAATGGATAACTTAAGCTCAGATCCTTGCAGCAAATCTTCAGTTCATTAGCTTATGCACTACACAAGATTGGACAATATAGCAATACATTGCAATATATTACAATAGTCTATTTTCATTATTGTGATAACAATTGTCGTATGTTGTACATATTCATATTATAAAATCATGACATTTTGTGCAATTTACTGTTTGGAGAGTTATAACTCATCAAAAGGCAAATACTCTCACTGTTGCGACTCAATATATATATCCAAACATTCTGTATGTACACAAATATTAACTTATTTCCAAAAACTTTTATTCATATTCATAACACTAATAGTAAATTTAAAGACAAGCTTGTTGCTCAAGTATTGTTTAGAAAATTCAACAGGTTTCTTGTACAATCAATAATACAATCAAGAGCCAACAACATTCATTTCTGGAGTTACCAAAAGCTTTTCTTTAGGTTAACAGACAACTTCATAAATTATAAAACTGAACCATGTAAGAATAGTCTTACCTGTAATCTATCACTTTCTAACATGTCACATATTAATGTGGTGCTTATAAATTCCAACACTCACTTACTAAACATTGTCTCAAATGACAAATGTACATAGCTACAGGTACCTGCACAGGACCTTTAAGTACCTTTATTGATCAACAATGGCTGCTAAGGGCCATTCTAATGAATTTCAAGAGAAGCATCAAAGAAGTGAACCAATTGCTCAAACATATAATACATTCAATCTGAGCATACATATAATATATAATTCCAGCATAATATGACACCTTTGAGGAATTGGATATCATTTCTAGGTGCTTTTTCAACTCATTAATAATCAATATCATATGATTATGATAACCTTGAGGATCCTAATAGATCTCAATTGGATTTTATACTAAATAATGATTAAATAAGGAACTATTAATAATAATAGTTTACAGTTATTTGGTTTTTTTTTAACATTGGAGTTTACTACCAATTGTTAGCCATTGCTATATATATATAATTCAAAACACAGCAAGAAATAAATATAATAATTGTACTATCAGAGTTAAGTAGTATTTTCACTGAGAGCTTCACAGCTAATCATGAGATAGCATCTAAAATGTCTTTAATATCTAATATTATGAAATATAACATGTTATGTTGCTGGTATCAGTTTATTTCAACAATACACTGTGTCTATCTATATTAATATGCTTTATTAATTCATTAATAAACACATATCAAAGTATCAACCAATATAATATATATACATATGACAGTGTCTCAATTTGGGAATATAACCACCATCAAGACATATACCTGGACTATGCCTGTGATTGTCATTTATCTGAAATGGGATCATCAAACATATATGTGTACCTATGTAAAGAAATAATAACAATTCTTCAATTCAATTCACGTAGAACAAACACACAAAACTGAACAGTAAGTTTGACTAATTTACTGTGAATTAGCAACAAACTCAGCAATACCATTACACTGTTTATATGTATAACATGGTATGTGTTCTCATGTTCAACCTGTATGTCAACATAGTTAATGTAACTGTTTCTAATCTGTTGATATCCTATCATACTCTATCATAGGCATTAATAACATAACAATAGTTACTCTGTATTTTAAACTAATTAGATAGCCACGTTGTTCTATACTTAATGTATTCATAATACTTCTTTCTTAGGCATATTGTATAACTCAATATCGTGCTACATGTCATGTCATTATTCTCGCAAGTTATCGTACATACTAAATCTATTTAATATGTAGAAAGCAATTCATCCAAAAGTTCAATAAAACAAGTGAGAAACTGCGTTTAATGGTATGCGTGTTATTAACGTAAATTCACTTACCACAACTTCTAGTCAGAATTACCTTACAGTCGAATTTGTAGGCGGGATTGGTACCGCTTCTGAACTTTTAAAATCACTAGTATCCTGACGACTTAGGCGTAATGCCGGTTAGTCAGGGAGAGAAACACCTCAATGCCTACAATATTACAATTATCTATCTCTTATTTGTTTTTATAATAATATCAACACTTTCGCTCCAAAACTCCCGCTGCCTCCGTTCAATCGTCCGTCATCCACTTGTCAATGTCACATAGATTACTTTGGCTCTGGCCTCTGACGTTCCGTTTCAGGTTACATGATTATTGACTTTACCATTTTTAATTAATGGTGCGTAACACGATAGTTAACACAACAAATATGAGAGCTATGTAGGGAGATACCTACAATGTTGCTTACACAAACCAACTTCGTGCGTATCCTACTTTATCATTTTAATAGTGTACTATATATTATATGCTTAATATCTCGGAAAATAACAATATTGAATCATATTTTTTACAACACTGTTGCTTATTTAAGGGTACAAGTGCAATAAATATACCTATTTCGATATTGTTTCTTTTTTACTACAATTAGAAAGTTTTTCGTAAGTAACTAGTCAAATACAATTCTTTTTCTAAATTATAATGTGATTATGCTTAACATTATTTACAATAAGGTACAAGAGCAACTTGATAGAAACAATAAAATTACTAATACTTTCTAAATTATGGTGCGACATAAACAATATCTCAGCTCGTTACTATGTTAATTTGTAATTGATTCGACCACATTGCTATTGTTTACTTCTTAATAAATTAATAAATTAATACCTACATTATTTTTATTCGTAGTACATGACAATTTTAATAAGTTTATTGTTGTGTCCACATCACGTGCCATCCACTTAATAACACTCGCTAAATTACAATAAACAATTTGGAGCGCTCATTATTCGCGGGTTCATCACGACGTTAGGCATTCAAATTATTCAACACAAAACCGCGGTAATGTCAAACGTCCGCGAGTAATTGCGAAATAACCACGAGACAACCTTCTCCCGTTACATTAAATTTGGCGCCACTCGATTTGACGCAAAATTGAAAGTGATTAGACAGGCCTTCGGTCTACACCATTGTTCACTAATTAATCTCAATATTTCTAGTCTAGTCTTTTACAGAATTAAGAATACAATATGGTCCATATATAAATTACATATTTTTTAACGTAACTTTGTACGTGCTATTTGCAACTGTCGTCATTTGACGCCTGTGGAGCCCTTATAATTTACCATTTCAAACTACGAAGTAATACCTCTATACTCTGCAATTTTTCACTCTTCGAACCGAAATGCAGCTTACAAAGCTGCTGAAATAGGTGACAAAGTCAGTCTAGCAGACAACTACCTTAGCAAAACAGATATATGAGTATCTATCCAAGAACATAACAATTTATAAATCGTAAAATATATTTTCTTTTCAGATAGTATGACGGCCAAGTCAACTTCCAGTGAAAATCGTATTTATCAAAACTTCCAAGGCTCATAACAAAATGTTGACATATGTCTCCAAACGAAAAACAAATACATCCCGTGAATGATTCCAAGAACAGAGAGCGCGCACATCGGCAGCGATGCAAGAAATATGCAATACCGCTGCCCTGCCGCTCGACACTAGCCCTTTAGTACGCAAAATAAAATGCGAAGAGTACCCTGCCATCAGAGGGAAACAATCCGCGAGAGTTGGCATGGGGGTGCGCGATGAAATGGAAGAGGACTTCGCCGTGAAGACAAGGAATACGCCACCAATGGGGCCGGCGCCGGGACAGGAGCACCCACGCATGGAGCACGGTGGTAACGGCTTCTGGTTGGCAGCAGTGACAGCCGCTGGAGCACCACACCCGATGCTAGAAACATGTACAGAAACCGGCTTCATAAACAGTCAACCTTCCATGGCGGAGTTCATGACTGCACTTCCGCAGTTAGGAACGGGCGAGCTGAGTCCTCAGCACACACCGCCCGGGTATGCGCCTGACCTTCCTTCGCCGGGCGGTGGGCTGAACGTACCTGAATACCCTTGGATGAAAGAGAAAAAAACGACAAGAAAAAGCAGCCAACAAGGTAAGTTTTACTCTATATGCAAAGGAACCTTTGGCTTACAGATTACAGTCATACAAATATATTCTACTACCACCACTCGCAGCATTAAAACTACTTATCAACTCAGGTTATCGCAAAGGTAGCGATCTCTAATAAGAAAATAGCTCGTCCATCAAAAACGACGACAAATTTCGTTTCGTAAGTGCGCCTAACTGCCTCGTGAATCTACTTCGGAATTATTATTGTGCCTTTCAACGGCAACAACAAATGGCCATTCAACCATTGTGTTCTGGTTCACGGTCCCAGAGTTTCTTTAATGAACATCAAATTACTCCAAAATATATTGAATTGTATGCCGCGACGACGTTTTGTGTCCGTAACTGTTGTAGTCGGCCGCTATGGGAGTGGTATAGTTGCGGCAGTACAAGATAGTGGCTTGTAATATCTGTGAGCTGCGAGGCCTCGTAGAGGTATTATTCGAGCCACCGACCCGCCTCCAACATGCCGTGTAACGGAACGGAATACTCGACATGCACTATAACCACAAATTATAAGTGAGAACATTTTAAAATATGATTTTTATATGCTGACAACATAAGTTTATTTGAATTGAAGTTTTTTTCCCACCTTAGTATCAAATTTTGACGTCAGTATGTATTATGTATGAAGATCATAGCTTACTACAGCTTAATCGATGCACTTATTTTTATAAAATACTGTTATTCATTGTTTACTGCCTCTTACAAAAAATATTTCGCACAATCAAGCATTGTAATATAGCTAACTAAAAGACAAGATGACCCCAAATTTGTCGGCGGGACAGAATGCTGAGTGGTGCAGAACAATGAGCGAACTGGATGATCCATCATCATCTGTCGCCCGCCTGTGGGAACATGGCCTCACCTGGTGAACCAATATATCATTTTCTAGATATGCCACAATTTGTAACATTATCTCAATTAAAAATTCCAAATAAAATCTATAGGTGAGTGCTATGAAACATTCATAAATTCTACATATGTTTATTTCTAATTTATATACTTATAAAGTATCGAGTATATAGGTACAACCAATATCCAATTAAAGATACGTAAAATTATGCATAAATTAATGCTTCTGAAGTTCCATATCACTTTTGATTTTTTCCTACAACGTAATCGCGTATGAAAATACAATATTATAAATAATATTGTGTTTTCATACTCTAGCGCGATTAACGCTCGTTGGCTAACAGAAGCTGCCCCCCGCTGGTCGCTGCGGGGGTCACGACAAAATGTACGTTGAACAACGTGTTAAAACGATCTCGGAATCGACTATAAATCGTATTACCTAAGTGTATTAATTAATTGCGGCCCTATAAACCTACCGAATATATTTAAGTGATATCAATACCTGACTACCTGATGTATAATTTTTTGAGTTTCTCCACTAACAAGCTCGTTCGCCTTTATGATAATAGTTTGGATCATATTATAATTTTATTTTTATTCAAATTTAGTAATATGTATGATTTAGTCATTCTCATGGTAGTTCATGACAGAAACAATGTCATTACTGGCAGACACGGCCACATGTTTCTCATGTTTATTTTATATTTTATAAGCAGTCTGCGAACATAACGCTGGCATTCGCTTTTTGATTCGCATCTCCATCCGAAACGAACTTGCGAGATGATAGTGTAGACGCAAGGGTGTCCGTGAACCGGCGCTGCCGGGGTAATCCGTCACTGTCACAGAGTCACAGATATCGAGCGATGCACGCCCGCCGCCGCTCCATGCAGCTCGGATCAGCCGCGCCTCGCCGTTCTAAACTTAGATATTGGGTTTACCAAGTTTTGACTGATTCTCTTAAGTGACGGCAACGTCTATTTTGACGTTTCCTCTTTGGATATCCAATTGTATACTTGTATTCATTTTATAAATTTTATTAAAATAGTTAACTCAAAAATCAATGAAAAAATTTTTTTCTAAAAGTTCTTATACCATGTAGTCCATTTGAAGACCAGAGTTGCAAATGGTCATAATAAAATAGATATTATTACTTATAAATAACAGAAAAAATTGCTTAAGCGCAAAATTTACTTGATGTCATCAAAATATTAATCAATACTCAATCAGTGCACACGACTGACATGCTTTTTTATGTAATAATTTAGGAAACAGTATGACTTGCCATCTATACCTAAAGGTATGTCTTGGCTTTGGTTAAAGGTAGCCTCTGTCTAAATTAAACCTACAATATATTCATATTTCTTTTTTAAATGGCGCCAAGTCCATATAACTTCTAATTCAAATATAAATTTGAGATATTGTATAAATATCATATATTAATTTATTGGATATAGTGTTTGGAATTTGGAACATATTGAATCTAGATACGCGGTAGCGTGTCAAGCCAAGTTCAAGTAACAGAACTGGCGAGCATTAAAATTAAGATAACAAGAGCATACTTACATGTGTATCCATAAATTAAACAGTATCCGCTTGCATTAACAGCGTGTATTACGTACTTCCTATTATAGATACATATAGATAGATATCTACCGGTGCGGTGTGGTAGAATAGTAGGTACTCCTATTAGGGACAAGAAACAAATTGTTCGCCGACCACGCCTCCAGGCTATCTCCGGAGATCGAAATTAAAATGAACGCCCTGACACGATCGATCATTCCGATTCTTTAATATAATCCCGTATTATTTCTGCACTGTCTCAATTTGCTGAGAATGCCATGCTTGACTGATATGTGATGCAAAATGTAACCTTCATTGTTGTGGATTAACATTGTATGGATTCAAAAATCTAATGTAATTTCTTCAATTTCTCCTGAAATGTAATCTTATACGTCATATGTAGATGTTAGAAAAATACTACCATCGGTGTAGAAAGAGCAAAAATGTGCTTAAATTGAGAACCCTCTTATTAAAAAAATAAGACTTTTTTGAAGAATCTACATATTTTATAACTATATATAGGGATTTAATGAAGTTAGTACGTTCTTTTTGTAATAGTATAAAATAAAAATAATTATTTTATAGCTAGCATGTCTGTTTATCAATGTTATAATTATAATCTGTCACAATAATATGAGTCCATTCAGCACAGAATACGGGCCTTATCTAAATTGATTCTGAACTTAATGTTGTTGCTTTATAAAGCGGTGCCATTTTTGCTACATAATGTGATTAAAAAAACGTTATTGTCGCTTCACCTCTCCTATTTACCAGCACCACCATCACCTTCACCATCAATTCTTCATTCGCAATTCCATTCAAAGCTAAAGACAATTAAACTGTAACAAGCCTAATTACAACACTAAAATTAATACAATTAGATACTCAATTGCTATAGCTATCTGCTTAAAACTCTCCATAATAGTTAATAATTCTCTATAACGCTGGAATTTATAACTGAAATATAAGTAAGATACGTAGTCAAGTTGTTTACCTTCAAACACGATAAATCAACCCTAAAACAAAAAACAAAACGACACAAGTATTCCGCAGAAACAGCCCCTGTGAAGTCGCGTGCGCTATTTTATTCTGTAACTAAACAACTGAAACATTCTATATAATATGAATCCATTAAATATAATGATAATGGCATGAGAACTTTGTCATTCTGTGACTGTTTCTATATGACGACACGTCATTTTGTAATACGTCCTATAACTGTATATTGGAGGCTATCATATCCCTTTGGTTTGATCGGTTGCATGCTATTAATAATAGTAACTGATATAGCTAATGAATACAATTAAGTTTTGTAATATTGTTGTAAAATGCGTAAATTCCTTAATGTATTCTATGTAACCTCAGATGACCATAAAAAAACTGTAATTAGAAATGTTACTCGTAAGTAAACAATAAGTATATGTATACCTGATACAAAAAATATTTTCTACTAATTGCAACAGGTCTTGAAGATACTTGAAGTCACCGGCATAAATAATAGTATATCCTACGTCAATAATAAACTTGAAAAAAATATCTATTATAATAACCTACTGTTTACACTTTCAATTTTAAAAATAAGTCGTAAATCGTTGCAATTTTGTGCTATTTGAAAAAAAAATGTAAAACGAAATAGCTCAGGTAGACCTTTCTCTATGGACACCGAAAAGACCAGAGATAGTAATAAATCTTATGGCGGGCTGTCTTTGATTTATGTGAAAAATGACCGTAAATTTGAGGTTGAGGCTACATCCGAAGGGCGGTTCACTGGTCAGCGATTATACGAGGCCTCTCACCTATTATATCCTATTTATTGGCCTTCAAATTGTTCTAAGACATCGCCGAAACGAATAGGAAATAATTGTCTATATTAATACTTAATTTAACATATAAATTTAGTTCAGATATAGCATATAGGTACTTATATATTTAATTATTCGTCACATAAAAATGACATTTCTTAACTCCCATATTGTACATTATGTACAAATGTACTATATTAATAATGTTACTTTGTTGTAATTTAAACAAAATTATGAATTCTGGTCAGATCGAACTCACGACCTTGGAATCTTATAAATGAACGTAGTAAACCTAGTAAACTAGGATTTAACATTCTCAAAATAAAATAAAGGACAAAAGAAAGTCATTTATTTAAATAAACTTAATTTAAGCACTTTTGAATAATCATAGTTATCATTCTTTTAATCTACCGCTCATTCGGAAAGCTGTTTCATCACAAGAAGAACGAGGAGAATGTAATAAAATATTATAGTATAATAAAGATATATTAGGTAACTTAACGGTCACATAATTATCTGAAGTTAAGTCCCGACAATCGTTACGGTAGCAAACACAATAATTTCTACGGTATTCATTGGCTGTCAATACAGCCGCAGTTATGATTTACGCGGAGACCCGCCACGGCCCGAGGTAACACTTTCACCTCCTTCCTCTATATCATTCTTGCAATAGGGTTGTCGATATCATACTCGTATTTAAATAAAAGAAACATCTATTTACTATTGTCATTAAAATAATGAAACACAAGTTCTAACTACCTAAAAAGAA